GCACTGACCCTGGGCTGTTTCCCACCTTTAAAGTGAAAAAAAAAATAAAAAAAAAAAATCCTATTGCACTTTGCAAATAGTTCCTAAACACAGCATGATCTGTTCTGCATTATGCAAAATGTGAAGTCCTCATCTGGCCAGCAGAATGGTTAGCATTAAGCATTTAAAGCTTTTTTAACTTTTTTTTTTTTTAGTTATGCACTGAGTCAGCACAGACACACCAGTGACAAGCAAAAGCATTTTGGAGTTCAGAACCAGCTCAGTTCTGGATGGAATGAAGAAAACAAATTGTTCTTGCTCTGGTGCTAATGAAGCCTGGTTTCCAATGGACTTGTGTGTCGTGGTTGATTGAGTTTTAACTGTGCTATGCAAAGGCAGCAGCCTGTCCTCGCCGTTTACCAGGCGCTGGAGAGCCCACACACGTGAGAATGGTTGTGGAGTGAATCAGGAGGTGAGGAAAAGAACAAGGCAGGTCCCAGAAAACAGCCCGATATCTCCTGGAGGAGCTGGCTGGGGTGATGAAAGATGCTGCGCTCCTCACCTGACACTGGCTCCCCGTGGCGGAGGGCTGCTGCTCCGAAGCTGAATCACACAAACAGGTTATGGGAGTGCTCTTCAAGCACGTCACTGCAAAGATGGCCGTGGTAGCTAAAATCACCCTCATTTTACAGCTCAAGAGCCACGAATGTGTCCTTCTTGAGGGGTAATCTGGAGGTAAGACTGGTGAGGACTCCCAGGGGCCAACCTGTTGTCTTAGTGAGTATGCAGGTTTTGGTGGAAAAACTAGCCATGGTGAGAACTAAATCATGAGGGGGAGAGTGTCTGGTGTGAATGAGCCTTGCCCATCTCGGAAATGCCCATGGGAGAACTGCTGGGGGAAGTGATGTGGCAGGTCCCTCTGGGAGGGCAACCAAAGATTGATCCTGTGGATGGGGAACATGGAAAATGTCCCCTGTGGGGCAGAGTCCCTGATAGCCCCACAACACTCCTGGGGTGACCACTGCCCCTGATGCCATGCTCAGAAGGTGTTTGGGGCTGTGCTGCTGAACGGGGCCCAAGATTTCTCCAGTCTTGAAGGCATCACTGAAGAAGATAACGGAGCAAGCAGCAAAGACTTCTGAGCCCACATAAAATACTTAGTTGTTGAGCGTTTAAAATGACTCGTGAGCTGTGTAATGTAATCACAGTAGATTTGGAAACAAAACCTGCTCCACAGCCCAAGCCTCTGCCAGCCACTCCCTTAGTGGAGCACAGGTTTCCCCAGCACTCACATCCTACTGGTGATCTCCCTCCCTGAGCATCCCTTCCTGTGCGTGCATAGCTTCAGTTTGTTTTCAGGGAGACACAAAAAAGCCCTTGGGGAATGTGCATCATCCTTATATAATAAGTCCGATCTACTCAGCTGAAGGGTTGCCAGATTTCAGCTGTTTTTCCCAGCACCTGCTGTGCAAGAACTGCCGGCTCCTCACTGTTTCGCTGCGTGGTGTGTGGGGGGTGCACCTCCTTCGGGAGCCCATCTGGGGCTCTGTGAGTAGGAACGGGACCTTCCCCAAATAGGGTGTGAACTGGTTCAGTTCTGGATAAGTAGAGTGTCTGGAGGTGATGAGGTTTCCCATCTACACTGGATGGACACCCCTTTCCCCCAAAACATCCTGCCATGACGGATCTGCATAGTGGGGTCTGCAAAGGGGTCTTCAGTGTGCCTCAGCCTCACCAGCCCCAGCTGCTCTGGAGCACCCCAACACCCTGCACCCCAGTCCCGCTCTGGAGAGCCTCAGCTAGCTCAGGCACCCTGCACCCTGGGCTGCTCCCCAGCACCCCA